TGAGTGAACAACAGCGGGCCCAAAATGCAACACAGATTCAGAAAAAGCAGGACAAATTTATTGCAATGTAGTACAAGTGAAATGCTGAGTAAGGCAAGTCACACTGGTAGGGCTGATTTGACTGAGAGACTGGGTAGTACCGTACTAATGGCAACCTGGGGTTGATTGCTGGCGGAGTGGAATGCGCTGAGGCAGGAAGAACCAAGGTGGATGAGTCATGGAGGAGAAGGAGGAGTGGAGGCTGCAGCAGAAGCCTGATATCTGGGTAGAGAGGAGAGTGACGCTTATGCTGAGCATGAGGAAAGGAAGTCGGGAGGCTGCACTCATGCCAAGCATCAGGAGGAGCTAGAGAGCAGGTAAGCTTGTCCAACGACAGGAGGAAGGAACTGCACTCATGCTGAGCTTCAGCAGAAGCAGGCTAACATGTAAGCTAGCTCAATGACAGGAGGATGAAAGGAAGAGTAACACTCACACTGGGTCTCAAAAGAAGCCTAACAACAGGAAGGATTCAACACTGACAAGACGACTGGTTTAGCAGGTAGTGGAAGCCAGGACTGATCTGTGTGACAAACTGCCAATGAGGACATGCCAGCGCCTGGCAGATGGGAATCAGCTGTGGAAGTGACAATTTCTCCTATATTAGCTTCGATATATTAGCTATATTAGCTGGCTCCCTGTAAAATTCTGAATAGAATTTAAAATTCTTCTCCTAGCATACAAAGCCCTTAATAACAAGGTTCCATCGTAACTTAAAGACCTCGTAGAGCCTTATCTTCCCAACAGAGCACTTGGCTCTCAGAGTGCAGGTCTGCTTATGGTTCCTAGAGTCCACAGAAGTAGAATGGGAGGCAGAAACTTTAGCTATCAAGCTCCTCTCCTGCAGAACCAGCTCCCAGTTTCAGTTCAGGAGGCAGACACCCTCTCTACCTTTAAGATTAGACTTATAGATAGCTTAATATAATATTGTTGTTTTCAACAGCCTCACTTGGACACTCAACACCACACATCTGGTTAGGAAGGCCCAACGGTGGCTGTACTTCCTGAGGAGGCTGAGGAAGTTTGGCATGTCGCCTACAGCTGCATCATTGAGAGCATCTTGACCAGCTGCATCACTGTCTGGTATGGCAGCACTACTGCTATGGACCGCACATGCCTGCAGAGAGTGATAAAGACTGCAGAGAAGATCACCAGGACTCCACTGCCCTCTCTGCAGAGTATTTACCACTGCAGGGTGCATAGGAAAACTGCCTTCATCCTCAAAGACCCCACCCACCCCCAGCATGGACTGTTCTTACCCCTGCCCTCTGGTCAGAGGCTCAGAAGTGTGAAATGCAGGACCTCTAGACTGAAAAACTCTTTCTTTCTGACTGCCATCAGACTCCTAAACAGCTGACTCAGGAACTACCTCATGTAATTCCATCTGTACATACTCATTTTGCACATGCACAATTGCACACCCACTGCTGACTATTTGCACCCCACAGCTCCCACGTAGCATATATTCTCTCTGCATTATATTGTGTTTTTGATCTATTTTTATTTGCCCCCTTCACTTGCTGTTTTAAAGTGCCTTAGATTTGTGTTATTGCTCATCTACCTTATTTTTCACTTGTATTATGTGGCATTCATGTGGACAGCAAAGTAAGAATTTCATTGTACAGGGAAGCACATTTCCTTACTGTGCATATGACAAATAAACTCTTTGACCATTGACAGTGAGGGAGGGTAGAAAGGTGCTTAGTATGTAGTATGTCTTCTGATATTTCATGGCATCAGAACAACTAATGTTGCTGAACAGGATAGGACAGATATCCATCTTGATAACTGCAAGCAAACTTTAGCCCTGGGCCGTCCTGTTGCTACTGAGTATATTTAACTGTACCAGTGGTTTCTAGTCAGCAGGACGGCCTTCGCTTGTGCCCATGTAGTGGTGTCTGTGAAATTATTGGACATGTATTCTAGAATAGGTTTGGTCTCCTATCCTGTCCTGTCCTCTCAATCTATATGCCACCATTAGACATCATTAACTGTCTCCTCTCTTCCATAGTGTGTCCTCTCTCTCTCTGCCTGTACCTTTCTGCAGGTTGCCCTGGCTCTGGAGCTCTATGTTTCTGATGAGCAGTCACTGGCCACATCAACCTGCCCAGTGTTTGATTGTTTGTTGCTTTTCTTATTTTCTCTCTCCTCTATCCACTCACCCCAACCAGTTGAGTCAGAAGGCCGCCCACCAAGACCTGGGGTCTGTCGGAGGTATCTTCTGTTAAAGGGAGTTTTGTTGGGTTGAGGGGTGTGAAGTTTTTATTAATTGGGGAGAACAACACACCCTGTGCTGGCCCACATCCAGAGCAGTATACCGGACACCCTGGATCCCCTGCAGTATGCCTACCGGCCCAACAGGGCCACCTCAGACGCTGCCCCCCATTATTCCCTTTCTCGCCGGGAAAATGGAGACTCTTACATCAGGATACTCTTCACTGATTACAGCTCCGCCTTCAACACAGTTATCCCCCACAAACTCACCCACAAACTGTCCACACTGGGTCTGCACCCCACCCT